GCAACCAAGCAACCAAGCAACCAAGCAACCAAGCAACCAAGCAACCAAGCAACCAATTATGGATGGCCAGGATTTGATTAAATTAAATATGAATTAATGGATACTGGCGAGTAACTAGATAAGGGAAAGTGGTTATAAGGAAAAACCCTTAGCATCAATTTTAAGGTGACTTTAGACATTTGGTATTTAGCCCTTGGTCATTCATATGAAATCTAATTCCAAATTTCCAAATGATAAAAAATAATTTTGCAATGCTGTTTTGTATATTATTATATTAGAATAAGCCATTATTGTACCTTCTTTTGAGTTTTGTCATATCCCATGATCCTGTTTTGTGATGTAGGATGAAATGTCAAGAAGGATGGCTTCCAGCCAGATAGCACTTGCTTGGTAAAGGTTTTGTAATCAGTGGTAACAAACAGTAACCCGTTAATGACGTCAGTCAAGATACACTAAAACAAAAGAATAAATTGTCAATGAAAGAATCAAAAACAAATGCTTTATTGTAGGTCAAGATAAAATTGTAATACAGCTTTGTCTCAGATCCATTCAGCATAACAGGAAGCAGGAAGTAATAAAAGCATTAAGGAATTGTGGAGAGATTAGCATGTGAGGAATATAATATAGAGTTGAGTGCTTCCCAGATTTACAGCTTCTAAAGCTTCATTAGTGCTGTATTTCTAAATGACTCACAGAAAATCTATTATAAATACTTTATCATATAGTCAAGAAAGAAAAAATTGATCCTTCCTGAAGCTTGAGAATACATGATTCTGCATATAAGGCTTATTTTTAAAAGACCAAAGATCGATATGGACTTTTATTTAACACATTAAAATTTGCAGCCATGCTTTTTCCTAGACATGCTACAAAAACATGATTGTTTTAAACCCACACAAAACCTTTTACTGTACACAACATTAATAAATGTGGTGAAAACATAAGCCTGTTCTAGCTGGTATGATAAGTGCATTTTAGCGGTTTCAAAAGTAACAAAATATAAAGACATAAAAGGCAAAATAGTATTTTTTTTTTAACCTGAAAAATTGCTTTTTATCAGTTTCAATCTGAAACTGGCAAAGATATTGCATCAATAGTAACAGACACATAACTATAGTATTAGTACTAGTTTTTTCTTCTCCATAATGCCATCAATGCATGTGCCCATGTTGAAAATCCAACAATTGATTATCGTTAAATTTTAAGCTAAAAATCTACTTTTCAGAGCTGGAACTTCATGATCAAGTATCCATATATTTCATGAACCATGTCAAGTATTCTAGACAAAACTTTGACAGTATTTAACCGCAAATTGCTGACAGGAAAATTCCATGGTTAAGTACACTATAACATGTAATGGACTACAGTCATAAAGTAAACAGGCAGGGGGATAAAAACTGGGCTTGGGGAACATAACTTTGAACTTTTTATGAGGACGGGTGGGTTGTCTATAAAACTGTACATATATTGGGGGTGTGTCTTTTGCAATTCCTGGATGGAAACTGGTAAGAGGTGATCACTTTTTTAACCCTATTTTATACTGTCTTTCTCTCCGCTTCTTTACCTTATTTCCAGTCCCTAAAGCTTATAATTTGAAATCAAAGAAAACAAAGAAATTTTCTTTAATTTATTTTCTGCTAGCTATGTGATTTTACAACTTAAAATTGTTAATTGCATGATAAGACAATATTATCTTATGATAAAGGAAGTTATTCTTTTGACAAGCATATTATTATTATTCTAAAGATCTAGAGATGATATCACTTCCGATATTAAATGTCACGAGACACAACGTCTCCAAGTTGTCAAATTATATCATTCAACTAGGCAAGTTAATTGACAAAAAGAAACTGATGAAACAAAGAAAAAGACAACTACTCTCTTGTTTTTAAATATAGACATGCAAATTATTTATAATTCATTATATTCTTTGATGTATAGCCAAATTATTCAAGATTAATTAGAGCATGTCAAATCATTGTATTTGAAAAGCTGAATTACGGTGTTATTTACTCTTAGAGTGAATTAAGGCATTTTACCGATGAAAAAAAAAAAATCAACATGTAATAGTCAAATGGACAATGAAGAAACATTGGAATTAGGGTCTACTAATGTGTATAGTAAAATATCTATTATATATATAATATTTATAAGTTAATATTTCAATGCGAGGCTTCATGCATAATGCTCAGTGTGTGACAAAGGAAAGCATATCACAGAAGTGGACGATTGTAAATCTCTCTTTCATACAAGTGACTTACGACAAACTGGCAAACAAAAGAAATGTAGTAAAATAAACCCAAACTTTTGTACAGTTTTGATAAAACCCAAAACTTTATAAAATCTAGATTTATTATTTATTCATCATAAATTTGTGATATACATAGATTTACAAATTGTACCTTTTAAAACTAAATAATATAATGATAATCTAATAATAATATTAATACTTATTATTATATGACCGTGAATCTTAGAGCCTGGACACTAGCAAATCGAGCAATCTGATTGGATAGATCGCATCGTGGACTGGTCTAGATTCTCCGGTATTAACCGGTCCGATCGCATATCAATCTTACGGCAAAAACATTTTGTCATTCCGACCTAGATTATCCCATACAGACCTCCCGCTGGGTTAATAAGATCTAAATATTAATGATGATGATAATGATGGTGACAATGTTTAATGGTGAAAATGATAATGATGATGGTAGTAATGATGATGATGTTGAAGATGAAAATAGCAATATCGTAATAACAAAATGGTAATTAGCAAAATAAATTATAGTAACAGCAATAGGATAGGAATTATTATAGTTATAACAAAATAGTAATTAGCAACATTAAGTATAGTAACAGCAATAGTAATATTATACATATAAAAGTATTGACACAAAACAAAAACAACACCAATTGACCTTGGATAAAATAATTGGCACAACTTTGACTTTTATTTTAGTTTTCTCTGCTGATTAATTTCATCTACGTTATTAGCCCTAACTCACATCCTTCTACATTATCTGGTTTGCGACATTATCACCCCCCTTTATTGATGTAATGCAATTTGCACGTGCCTTGGAATCATTTCTCCACTTCAATCGGAAAGACCACAAATAATTTTTATGTGGCCGCTAAAATGCACGGCTTCCGATTACACCCAAAACAAAGCCGGAGATAAGAGGTCACGGCTATGAGGCGACACAACTAACTGAAAAAATTAACACAAAGAGTTTTTTCTAAAGATTTTATAACAAGGGAAGTACAATACGTCTGTAGGGGTCCGACCAACAGCCGAACAAGACCAACACAAAAACTGCTAAAAAGTAGTCCAAAAAAGCTCATTTAAACAGAGTTTGGTTGGTTGTTTTCTTTAGGAGTAATTTGTTATTCAAAAAGCAAAGCTTTTACGTGTTAAGACTCAATCTTTAGATATTTTTATGGCGGACTGTTTTAGTGTTTACAAATGTTAGAGTTTTCAACACGTGTTGAAAACGAAATAACAACAAAAGATAAGGTATTGTCGGGGAAAAAAGAACACGAAGCTTCGATCTCAAAATATAAATCAATTCTCTATTAAACAAGATGGCTAAATAATTGACTTGAAGGGTACCTATAAAAGTTCAAACAAACTAAAAGTAAAGACTTACCAGTTTTGGGTTGACTTTGCTGACATAAATTTGATCAATAACTGCGTTTGAGCGTTCATCCTTGAGAAGTTTAGAGTTGATGTTGGTCCAATTTCGACCAAAATTCACAGATATATACACATTTGATGTCTTGGCGCCAATTTTATTTTTAGCGAGAAGGATAATGGTGTCTCCTGGCCAACTTTTGTAAAGGACTTCGTGATTTTCTTCTGGGAGATCAGACTAAAAAATCATTCATTTATAGTTGGTTTCATATTATATGACATATATAAGATACATACTATGCTGAAACACTTGAATATTTGTCTAAATCTATACTTAATACCTCGACGTATAAAGGAGGTGACGATGGAGCTGCTCTTCTCGATCTGTGGCTTCGTCGATCAGACCACAATTCGTCCGAATTGAGCATCGACTCATCATTTATATCTGAAGTTTGAATGCTGATCTCACGAACTCCTTCAGGAAGATTCGCATCTTTGAGTCCTGGAGTAAACAGATTACTAGGAATATGGAAGGGTCTGTACGCCAGTGTGATCACTGGAATGACTAGCAAAGCCACTGCAAGAGCTTTTCTTGCAAGAGAAGCCATGTTTTTTTCAACGTAATAAGATTAGTCTTCGGCTACGATAATCAATGAGCGCGAAGTGTATTCTTTACGACGCCAGAGCGAGGTCCAATAGATCATAGTGCGTAGATGATCGATCATGAATAAATTGAAAAGATATCAAATTTCAAAGTTAAATGAGGCTAATTAACACATTTCTAAAAATATTTCCTGAAATTTAATATAGTAGCATAATATTTGATTTTGGAAATGAAGTTTCGAATCAAAGATTTTTTAGATACAATTTGATAAGGGGAAAAAAAATCACGTGACTTTGATTATTTGAGCATGCAATAGTTCTGTCGCCTTCGTTTGTACGAATTCTTTAATTTACTTCTTTCAATTGTTATTTCTTTATTTTTTTGATTAAACATTTTTACTTTCATTGATAACGTCGTAATTCAAAGCTACAATATATATCTAATTTTCCCATTTTTTCGTTAATATTTGATATTTTAAATGAGACCATTCTCTCATTGGCATATTCATTCTGATGAATAAACGTACTCCAATAGATTAAATTTAAAAATTAGCTTTGCTTCCACGCAAATGTCGCACTGCGAAAGTGTATATTGTTTACATATTTGAAAGCCTAGTTTCTCATTTTCTCATGGATACCCGACCCACGTCGAACTATTGTATTATTTTAATAGTTCGACGTTGGCGGATATATAAAACTCAGTTTTTAAATCCAGACGGCCCGACACCATGCAGGAGTGATAAAAAAAGGTATTTACATTATATTTAGGGATGGATAGAGTGATGAATTGATGCATGAATATGATAGAGGGATGGAGGCCGGATGGAGGGATGAACGGGTGAAGGGGTGGAGGGATGGAGGGATGGAGGGATAGAGAGGTGGAGAGATGGAGGGGTGGAGGAATGAGAGATGGAGGGATGGATGGGGGGGGGGAGGAGGTATTAATGGGAGGAAAGGAGATTAAAGCCAAGTATTTTGAGCAATGAGCCTTCTTCAAGCACCAGCCATTTTAACTGGAATAGTAGATTTTACCACGCGTTGCCTCGCATTAAAGTGAGTCAAGCATATAAATTTATGCCGGTTAAACAAAGCGTTTTGCTTTTTTTTATTCCAGTGAGAATTAATATGGCTTCTGCGTGCGTCAGGCCAATACCTGCTTTCCATTTGCACTGTAAATTTCAGTGTACACCGCCGCATCTCCTTTATTGGCAAACCGTAGTTGATTACGGCTGAAGGCACCTATCACGAGATAAGGACTAAATATTTTAAGACTATAAGAATCTGCCCTGTTTATCCGTTTATATCCTCCGGCAAAAGCCAGAAACGTCTATCATTAATAAATAGCCGCGAAAAATGATATCCGTTCGACATCCAATTAGCTTATTCGGTATCGTTTACTAATGTTTTCAGTTATAGGCAGCTGGTTGAATAAGAATAGACAGCTGCTATTCTGCTCTGTACATGTTTTATATCTTTCGTTTTTCATTCCGCTGCCAAGGTCATCTGACCTGTAAAAATGTACAAACCACGTGATCTCTTAAGCTCTCGCTAAGTGAACATTTATCAAACACATGCATTTTAAGACTTGTCCCAGTGAGATAACAGTAGGGCCGCTACAGGTGGTAACGATTACGAATATAGTTCTTCAAGTGTTGTTACACAATGAATTAGCCGTTTCTCGAAATCCGCTTTTCGAAGACTGGGATTTCTGTGGTACAATCACGCGAAAAAATTTCTCGTTTATTAATACCACAGGACGCCCACCTTTTTAAAAATAAAAGTCAGAGAAGCTCACACTTTATGTTGAATCTTCGTATTTTGAAGCCAAGAAAACGTGCTCAATAGAATTTTCATGCTTCTCAAAGTTCGTCACATTTTAAGATAGAGAGAAGATGCATCGTTATGCTTTCAGACATCGATCCTTTTTTGAAATGATTCACGTTCAAGATGCACTATTTTGTCTTCCTTCCTTCCTTCCTTTTTTCTTTCTTCCTCATCTTTCCTTCCTTCCATCCTCCCTTTTGTTTGTTCGTTCGCTTTTTCTTTTTTCTTTCCGTTTTTCCTTCTTTATTCTAATTTTTAAAACGGGATTCCTGTGGTATGGCACTTACTAGTGACATTAAACTTTCCGTCCACCGGTAAAACAATAAGAAAACACCTGTTGATCTTAGACAACACCATCAGTAAACAACCACGCGGGACTCTTCAATGGCCATGTTATGATACTTGGCTGCCCAAAAACTTCAACGATTATTTCAAAACTTGGGGCTACTGATGGAGATGAAGAGATGCACTCTGGCACCTAGATGTATGACCATCGAGAAATACGATGGTAAATAAGAGTACGTGATGCAGGTTAACGTTTTACATGGCACTATACTTTGAAGTTGGCTTTGAAGATCAAATGTAAACAAGGCATCAGGGGCTGAAGATTACCTTCGGTAAAAAATCGATCTCCATCTTTGCTGAGGTCTAGAGACTTCATATATTTACGCGTTTTGCGAAAAGCACTGAGAAATCTTTCTAGTCAAGGTCTGTTAGATACACTCCTGTCTACTTGCAAATTTAAACGGGAATTCAATACTATGATCACAGAACGGTTTATCGTCCTTCCCTACACCAAGGAGACGCGCCGAACCACTAGATTCATAGAACGTTTCATCTTCGCATCGTGTTTCGTGGTTTGTGTGATCTTTTTGTACAACGACAGATATATACACGATCTTTTGACGAAGAATGAACGATTATACAAGATGTATCGGCGGCGAGAAGAACGGCACAATGACTCATCGACCCCAAGGTAGAGGTTGTTGAGTGAATATGTGTGTGTGTGTTTGTAACATCCTGTATGTTTATTTGAGGTAGCTATTTATCTGATAGCTATATGTCGTCTCTTATTTAACACTGTTTAGAATTATGCTATATAGCTTAGTCTTTTTCAATCTTTTTCTTTTCCTTCCTAGGTACTTCCCTCCATCCCTACATCCATCCATCCATATATCCTTCCCTCCCTCCCTTCATCCATCCATCCATCCATCCATCCTAGTTCCTTCCTTCCTTCCTTCCTTCCTTCCTTCCTTTTCATCCATCCATCACTATTTTTTTCCTTCAATCCCTTCAATTCTTCATTATTCCTTCCATCCTTTATTTCATTCTTCCTCAGTCTTGTCTCATTCATTTCTTGCTTGCTGTATTTCTTATATATTCATGTTCTGTCCCTACCTTAATATTACTTTCTTGTTCACTTTATTATATTCCTTTCCAATTTCTGTTTACGTCTAACTCTTTTGCCTCTTCTGCCTTTTTTCTTTCCCTAAACAGGCAAGCTGGTTTCCTGGAAAATCTCGACCAAAACGAATCAAGAAGCCGCACTTCCAATCAACCGTCACAATGTCGACCCCGAAATAACATTGTATTCCTTAAAACTCACCGCACAGGAAGTTCAACCATTACTAACATCATCAACCGATATGGTGACTCACGTAACTTGACGTTTGTTCTTCCAAAGAAAGGAAAATATCGTCTTCGCTGGCCCTACTTATTCAACACAGCAGCCTACGCACCTCTGCAAGGCCGAACACCCAACATACTATGTAATCACGCGCGCTATAACCGTGAGGAACTGGACAGACTAATGCCGAAGGACGTCGCACACGTGACTATAATTCGCGACCCCGCTGACCAGTTTTCGTCTGTGTTTGAAAAGTTTAAACTTGGTGAAATACTTGGGATTAACAGTATGGATTCTTTGAGTGAATTTTTAAGTAATCCGTGGTTTTATTTAGAGAAAGCGCTTGAGAACGAGAATATTCAAGCCGTAGAGTTTCACAGGCTACAGCTGGCACGCAATGGGATGATGTTTGACTTGGGGTTTGATCCCCTGGACTATGACAACACAGATCGCATTCGACGATATATTGAACGCTTAGATAAGGAATTTAACCTGGTTATGTTAACCGAATACTTCACTGAATCTTTGGTTCTTTTAAAGTATCTCATGTGTTGGGATTTCAACGATGTTCTGCACTTCGCCTTGAACGCGCGAACTCATTCAAACCAAAAAACTCCTCTTACGGAATATTTGAAAAGCAGAATTCGAGAGTGGAATCAAGCAGATTTCCTACTGTACAAGCATTTTAACGAGTCGTTCTGGACAAAAGTTAACACGTACGGCGAGGGATTCTTCAATGATGTAACAATTTTAGGCAATAAAATTAAACTCTGGGAAAATGCCTGTAGAGCGATGGAAGATCGAACAAAATTTGACTCTAAAGAAATAGGAAATTTAGAAAGTACATTAGAGATGTGTAGAAAACTGATCAAAAACGAGACTAGTTATATTGAATATTTTCAACATAGACAAAATATCTGAGCTTTGGGAATAAAGATAAAAGTAGCTCAAGAGAACTACGCTATTGTCAGGCAAAGTCGCAGCTGGATGTGTTAACGAGATACAATTTGCTGCGCTCAGCATTACAGAGGTAGACTTCTATTCTTCTTCTACTATGTAGACGGGAAAAAACCACTCTACCTTTGGTATAATGGGCCCATTTCCGACCACGTTTCATTCCCTTATATATCATTTCTTTGTTTAACGGTTGCACAATAGAAGACATATGGCATTATAAGGCAGTAGTCTAAAATGGGAAAAAACCCATTCCAGTCACACCCAAGAGTAACGTCCAATTTATCTCAATAGCATCTTAATGGAGAAAAATTAGTCGTAAAGATCTAAACATCCACAGAGTCACCTATAGAAACATGATGTGTACAGTCCTTTGAAAAACGTTTGTCGCTGACCGCCTTCACAGCTAGGACTTGAACCAGTGCCGCGATCAAAAAAAAAATTTGCATTCTTTTTTTTTTGCAACATTTTGTAATAGAATCACTAGTTATGAAGAATAAAATAAAAATCATAGGATAAAAGCTGCAAATTCGGCGTAAAAAAGAGCATGCATTCCGTACGATCCAGCCAACCGAAGTCCAGTCCATTCCGCCTACGTCCGGTTCCGGATTTTCCAAAACTAAAAAACGCTCAAAATTCGGGCATTAAGAAGAGGAAAACAGGTTTTAGAAGTTGGGCATGTTTTTGGTATACATTATGATTATCCATGGCCTTTTAAAAGGTAAAAATCCAAAAAAATTTTTTTTTGTAATTCAAGATCCACTGACTGAGGCCCAGTCACTTGCAATCCATTTCAGTCGCAACCAATCCTTTCCAGTCACATGCAAGTAACATCCAATTTATCTCAATAGCATCTTAATGGAGAAAAATTGGTCGTAAAGATCTAAACATTACACAGAGTCACCTATAGAAACATGATGTGTACAGTCCTTTGAAAAACGTTTGTCGCTGACCGCCTTCACAGCTAGGACTTCAACCAGTGCCGTGATCAAAAAAAAATTTTGCATTCTTTTTTTGCAACATTTTGTAATAGAATCACTAGTTATGAAGAATAAAACAAAAATCATAGGATAAAAGCTGCAAATTTGGCCTACGGTTCCGGATTTTCCAAAATTAAAAAAACACTCAAAATTCGGGCTTAGAAGAGGACAACAAGTTTTAGAAGTTGGGTATGTTTTTACAGTACATTAAGATTATCTATGGCCTTTCAAAAGGTGAAAATTCAAAAAAATGTTTTAATCACGTGGTGTAAAAAACTTGTCCACGTGGTATACCATTGGAATCACGTGGTGGATTTGATATGTACTTGCGGATAACATAACAGACGCTACGAAGGCCATTAAAAAATTCCAACTGCCTCGGTCTACCGGGAAGAGTAGTAATACTAGACAGACTTATGGGAGTGTATCTAGGCGGTAGTCTAAAATGGGAAAGCATTTTTTACGCCCATTGGAAGGTTTATTTCTGTGGCGCGTAACAGTTTCACCACGTTTTCTGCGACTCGAAGTGAAATCTGTTACGCATTCTACGAATTGAAAGAATTTACATAAAAAGTAAATATAGAAATAGCCGGCCCGTGTAAGCGCATTATTTTCCATTTCAATCCATTTGAGACAACGTGTCATTTTAATACTTGAAAATAAAAATAAAGCTTTGTATGAATGCCGTCATAATAATGCATGGTTTTCTTGTCACTAGTTGCTGAAAAAAAGGCAATGAAACTGACAGGGTTGACCATGTTGACACATGGTCTGAAATGGGAGAAAATGCGTAAGTGTATTTCGCGGAAATTCATTTATATATGCTTGGTTTTGTTTTCAATGCTTCTCGCTGCGTGCAGGAAGTCATCCTCAAGTTGCATTCGGAGTACCCAAGTGCCAATGCAAGTGAAATTAAGATAGAGTAGTTAAAAAGAAATACGCTATTTCTTGTGTATTCACTAGTTGTAAAAACATATCAAGCTTTACTCTATATGTTAGTGTCGAAGTTAGAGTAGAGAAAGCTCACTCCATATGTGGTATGATCAATTCCATATTTGGATTGTGCGGAAAAGCGGCAAACAAAAAGCCCGTCGTTTTATAACGAATTCGACATGAACATTTTTGAAGAAGAAAAGAAAAGAAAAAAAAAAGACAATTAAAAAAAGAAAAACTTTGTAAAATCGAGGAAGGATACCGGGACGATGCTAACTCGTGAGTCTGCCTCGCAGACAACAGACACAGGGAAATACGACACTCATGTTTGATATGAACTCGTGAGACCTGCAGAAGCAGCATTATGACGAAGCAGCAGACGGAAATATAAAGAAAAAACAATGGAAACTGAGAAAGGGAAAGAAAGAAAATAAAGAAAGACAGACAGATATACAGAGAACGAAATGGTGAAGCCAGCAAATAACCAAGCAAGGAATGAACTAAGGGTAGAAAGCAAGCAAGGAGGGAAGACGCTAGGGAGAGGAGAAATAAAGGATGAAGCCTAAGCAAGCAAAAATTAGGAAGGAAGGAAGGAAGGAGGGAAAGGAAGGAAAGAAGGAAGGAAGGTTACCGTACGTTAAAGAAGAAACAAGCGAAGGAAGACAACAAACTATTACATTTAGAATGAAATCGAAAGTCAAACTTATTGCGGAATGCACTTTAGAATAAATTTTTAATTTTCAAATCATAAATTTTTCAAAGCTGGTTTATCTAATTTGATATAAAAGTCTTTAATACCTTGCTTGTTTACAAAGATAAGTGCCATATATAATATGTTATGACGTCCATAGGTCATTCGATAACACTCTACAAAGTAACGACACTATTCTCAGCCGTTATCTGCACTCCTCTGTCTGCACGAACGTCTGCCGCTCGATTCTCGAAAATAGTCTTTTGTTTTAAAATTCTTTCTTGCATGCATTTTTTGATGGTGATTTTTTGACGAATTTTTATTGTTGAAGTTGCGCGTTTGTTACTCGGTACGGTTGTGAATATTTCTATACTAAAATGAAGAACACATGCATGGATTATTATAGAAAAATATATCGACCTGGCGATTTATTCGTTTGCTTGGTAAAATGCAAATTCGATTGACTTCAAACAATATATATATATAATTATAATTATAATTATAATTACAACAAACTAATAAAGCAAAGAAAGGAAGGAAGGAAGGAAGGAAGGAAGGAAAGGCAAGGAAGAAAGGAGGAAAAGAGGGAGAAAGGAAAGAAGGAACTATCCAAATTAATGATGCAACATAGCGCCTTAATAGGTCCCTTAATAGCACCATAGGTGGACTTGATGAAACACTGATTATATTCCTCTAGAATAACACGGAATAAGTCATTTCGTCTAAGTAATGCTAATGATAAGAACAATGTTTACTTCATTAACTCAGTACTCTTTCATTTTGCTTACTCTTTAATTTTTTTTTATATGACCTTATCAGCCGAGACATTTTTGATACCACCGATGGATTTGGACTTCATATCTTATTCAAACTATTTATGATTCGATTCGCTATTCGATTCGCTTTTATCAGTTTTTGCCGCTTTACAAAACAACTTCCAATCTTGCGTCTTATAACTTCGTCTTACTAAAATTCTCTAAAAACCCAGCTAATTGAGGAAATATAAATTAAAGCAATATTTTAATAGCGCAGCGCAGCCGTGACGTCATAAAAACGAAAACAAAGGCGAAATTCGGACAAACAAACTTACAAGTTTACTTTCAGCAGATAATTTTCACAGCCGATCGCAGTTGATCTTAGTTTACATGGGTTATTATTGTAACTTTAAGTAAAAATAATAAAATCGGTTCGTATAATCCTCGTAGCGGTTAAACAGAATGCAATGTTTGTCCGAATCTTTAAGCTATTTTTAGAATCAGTGCGCTGCGTAATTGTGTGGGATTGAGAAAAAGAAATAGTAAATCTACTAAGTACGCATGCGCGGAAGTCAAACGGCCGAAATCAGCTGCAACCATGAAAAAGTGTTGAACAATCCCTCTTGCTAAATATTAGATGAATAAACCACAAAGCAACAAAAGACCCATTTCTTAGTTATCTTTGGCGCGGGAAAACGACCGCAAAGCTATCAAAAACAAGATTTGAGGTAGACGAGCTTGAATACCTTTTCGAAGAGCTCGGCTATGAAGCACTAGATTCAAGACTAGTTTATGAGATTGAACGACGGAGCCTTAACGTCCGGCAGACTGTTTACCTAGAGGTATGCCTGTGTTTTTGTCATTAAGAGATCATTTATTATAATGTTAAAGGATCAATTTTAAATCTAATCGTTCTTACACCTAAATTCCTTTGCTTTTAGATGCAAAACGGCTCTCCTTTTCACTGCTTAAAATTCCAAAAGCACTCTCTATTTTTTAGAAACCCTTGTTAGCTTTAGCCACAGGCTTCTATTAATGAATACAATAGAAATATTCTCTTGCTATATGTTAAGAATATCTAAATGTTTGGTTTGGCCAGCATAATTAGTCTCGTCACTGAGTAAGAACGATTGTGTTTACTAATCTATTATATTACTGTATTCTTGCTAAAACTTATTCTTCCTATCCGGAAGAACACACAACTACGACGTATCGGAGGCGTGATGATAAACTACATTTTGGTAGTATTTGGGTTTATAATTCCCGCTATTCAAGGTCAGTACTTTCTACACATTACTTTTTTATATAATATTAATACATAGGAATTGTATCTATCAGTTTTTGCGAGATTAAAAATGCTGGGTTTTAGCTGACTTTGCTTTTGAAGAATAACTTCAAAGACGATTTTTCTCGGACGAATTGAAAAGTGTTTGGATATATTGGTTGGTAGTATTATTGTTTTGAATGGCGGTGACAATTCAAATACAAGTCAGGAGAGCTGGTGTTGCTTGTTAAATAATAGATAATTATAAAAGTCGTAGGTCATAAACTCCAGCTTCGTAGGACGTAGCCCAAGTCAGATCAAATTTCTATCAGTCAAATGTCATTTATTGTATATTGTACATGTAAATCAATAATTAGAAAAAAGAACTGAAGGGAACGCCAAACAAACTGCAGCCCAGTTTTCAATAAGGAAGTGAAAAAACTATATGCTTTATACTAAAAACTATAAACATTAAAAGGATACTATTCTCTAAAATGATATGATATTGTATATGCATGGAAAAACGTATTTTTACTACTTTCGTGAGAAATTAAACGAAACAAATTAAGCACTTATTCAGGTAAATCAATTTATTTAGTTTGGACATCCCTTTCGTTTTGACGTTTCACTTTGATGAGCAATTTATTATTTGTTATCGGCAATTTTTTTAGTTTTAGCCCGAAGTGGAAGTAAATATATTGGATATCCGGCTGCATTTTTATTGCATTGAGTTCTAAGCTTGGTGTTTAATATTTAAATTTACTGGATAATAACAACCACTGTAGGTCAAATAGAATAAATGAAATGGTGAAATGGTGAAGCTAAATTATTGATGGAAATATCAGTTTAAGGTTTCCAGAATTGACCATAATTTTCGTTAAACCAACTTAAACGCTCAGAGCTTGCGCAGACGGTTTAAGATCCCTCCACTCAGTCTCAAAATGTACGAACGCAGCCAACCTGAACATGGCGGCTTCAAACAAAGTTATGACGACGGAAAACGTTCTTATCTTCGTACACTGGAATTCAGCTATGCTATCGTAAAACAAGAAAATAAAGTCCGGTTAGGAATATTATCTAAGAGGATGCATTGCCGTCCAACTCTGAGCTTCAGGGCGATTATCTCACTAATACGCCATCTTGGTTGGGTCTAGGCTATAAGAAGACCTATCGATCATTAGTCTGTTTTATTATATCAACCAACATGGCCGCCCTGTCGTTTTTTTTTTTTTAATTCTCTTGGAAATGTTTGAAAACCATCAATACGACAGTCGTATTTGTATTAATATTCTTGTCGTTGATTGGATTGCAGGAGAATACCAGATCTTCACGGCCACATCCCAGAGTGCCTCGCCCACCGAGCCAACCCAAACAAAGCCAACGCTTTCAGCGTCCTTACACGAGCCTACGCAGTCAGCGGCTACACAAAATATGCCACGCCCTACGAAGACTGAGCTGATCTGCGGTATGACAAAGGCACGTGAAAATGACTTATATCCGGCTCAAGCCCTGGCACCAGGCCCCGCGGTCAACCCTGTGCCGATTCCTACCAAACCACTTGTGAATGATGACTTAAAAGATATGAATCGAACGAGGATCTGAGAGAAATGAAATGCATACTGATTTAACGAACGTATGAAGGTCTAGGCTTTCGTATAATGTGAAAAGAAACGGGCACTGAATCCATAGCAATCGATAATGGAGCCCGACTGTATTTAACCGTTGCTTTACGCATTGTGATTGGATGAATCACAAGAGATAATAGGAAGCCTTTTCGATGTCACGGCATGTGGTCGTGTGAACATACCAAAAATCAATAGCGCACGTTTAACCCACTCATGCTATGACTCTTATTATTTTTGCGACTTATTGCGGAATGCTTTGATTTAAGTTTTAACAATTAAAACGAGAAAAACTATAGTAGGCTATTCCTAAAGATCGAAGGAGTTTGATGAGGAATGGCGTCGAGTTAACAGGAAAATGTAACTAAAGTGAATCTGTTACGTTGTTGTTGTTGTTGTAATTGTTGTTGTTAGTGTTGCTGTTGTTGTTTGTTGTCGTAATTGTTGTTGTTGTTAATGTTGTTTTTTGCTAATGATAATAAAGACTTGTAGATGACGACTAGTTTTGGAACTAGCTTGGACTGCGTCGGTGTTAAAGACTTCATTGGTGAACTCAATTAATGCGAAAACATTAGTTTACAATAAAGACAAGAAATTACTAATTTATTTATTTATTATTTCAAGATTTGCCTAAAGGCAGGTGAAGAACACAATAGGACACTTGGTCCCTACTAAACACCTAAACATCCCGTCCCGGTCTCAATATCAGAGTAATTAACCTAACCCGAAAAATGAATCCCTGCCATATTGACAATAACCAAAATAATAAATATACGTACAATAGACAAAGGAAAAATCAAGAAACTGTCCTAAATTAACAACGAAAGCTAGTCATACTATTAATACTATTTATACGACGATATTTGGGACAAAGCAACTCAAAAGAAATGGTTAGTATCTTGATCATGAGCCGGGCGCCTTGTTTACTCTTATGTGTAACCCCGCCCTTAAACGCTATAGGCACTTTAATCCACTTTGTTATATATGTCATTTTCTTTTCTTTCTTTCTTACTTCTCCAATTTATTCAGATAACCTATGCAGTTAATTTAATGCAGTTCATAATTAATAAGCATATTTTTATAATTTATTATATATGTAATCCGAGGTGTTGTCAAGCACTTTTAACATGAGCCCCTGTCTCGTGAGATTGGGCACCACTCCGTGTGTCATTGACGTAAAATAAATGATCCTTATCCTACCCTGAGTTCCTTGTCTCGTTTCTACTCTGACGGGTAGGAACAAAGCCGAGGAGCTCCGGGTACGAGAATGATACATTCTCGTTTGTCGTTCCTCCCCGTCAGAAGCTCTGGGAAACCCTACAAATTCTCGCAATTTGATTGGCTTTTAAGAAGAACAATAGATCTACTTTTTGTTTGGATAAGATCGAAGACAAACAGATGTTTTTGTTCGCATTTGTAGATTTCACAAAGCCAAAGGCTTGTTCATGCTTGTCTTGGGAAGAGTTCGAGCATGCGCCTTGAGGACGTGGTCGCAATATTCCTTGCTTCCGCTTGTAGGGTAGAGCCTCTGACGGGGGGAACGACATTCGAGGAGGATCTGGGAACGCATGCGTGGGTGAGTTTCAGCTATCGTGTTCGGCAGGTTCTTTGCCGCATCTCAGTTCTTAATGCTTTTCTAAACCTGTCATTTCGTAGGGAATAAATCAAAGGATTCAAAGCAGAATTCAACAAGCCAGCTAATAAACAAATCCTGAAGCCAATGGTTTCGTCCTTTTTGTTTATATTGACGTACAATGATGCTGGCATCCAGCAAATAATGAAAGCTCCACACACGAGATAAAACAGTTGGGTCACCTTTGCTTCTCGGATTCTTTCTTTTCTGATGACTTGTTCTTGGTTTTCTAAAACGAAAGGTTGCCTTTCAGCTACAGTATTATTGATTTCAGTGAACTTCATACGAAACCTCGTAGACCGTCGTACCAGAACCCATATTCTTCCATAGACACACATTAGCGTGATACATAGTAATGAGCCCACGATATCGAACATAAAAAAGTCATAATCAATGTCATAATCAATGTACTTGATGTTTAACCACGGCAAACTAGCTAGAAATCCAGCCAAAAGCCATATGACGGCGATAGTAATTGCAAGTCGTCTTGGTGTCTGGATTTTCAACGCTCTAAGAGGCATCTCAACAATAATCCATCTTTGAATGGCAAGCGCCACTAAAGTCAGACAAGAAGCTTCAACTGCGAATGCTAGAAGTGAAGATATACGATCAAGGTTCTGTGTAGACACCGAGCTGAGTAAAAAAACACAATAGATCGGCTCGATAACAAGTCCAAGAAGCAGGTCTGCGATAGCTAGGTTGACGATGAACACGATCGCAGCAGTCTTAAGATCTCGACATGGATCTTTAAGCACTACTAGTATTACTATAGCATTCCCAATAATAGTAATTATCGATAATAAAATCAGTAAAGTAATCAATACTAACTCTCCAGGTGCTAGCATCATAGCTCTTTCAATATCAATGGTTATTGAACTATAAATATTTCCAGTTGAGTGGCCCAATATTTACCTTTCATACAGGCTATTGAGCAGTTAGGAAAAGTAGGATCCTGTGAATTGTTTGCCCCTTTGAATACCGGTATACATTATATATAATCAATGTATTTACCGACCGGCTTCACCTAACTGCGTCAGAAGCAAAATTTAGAATTCCTAGTACTACAAACAGGATGTCGCTCCGAATTTCATGTCAAGTCGACCCTGGGAGTGCCTGGTCACGCTCATGCCTGTTGTTTAGTTAAGTTTCGTTTTCACCTCTGACGAATCAGAAGTTAGTCTAAAAAAATCTTATCGACCAGTTTAATAATGAGAAATATGTTTTAAAATAAACGCAGTTACATTAGGCTTTGAAAGGAAGACCTTTAAAACCCACGAGTTAAAGTGCCTATGACATCTAACTCCAAATTTTCAGCATTGATTGTAAATGAAGTGAATAGATGAATGGTGAAATATTTTCATATGATTTGAGTGATGCATCTTGGAGATATCAAGGTTTAT